ATTGTCCGCCAAATACAACGAACACCAGAAGAGGATTCACGAAGAGATCGATTCTGTGGTCGCAAGAGATCGGAGTCCCTGTTATGCCGACAGACTTCACGTTAGTTTAGAAATTAACAGTTTTTTAAAAAATATTTTTAATATTCTGCCACTCGATCCATTAGAAAGTTATTTTGATATATAGTGACATATAATCAAAAGGACCCGGGTTCAAGTCCCGGGCGCCCTCTTTTCATAAGTTGTCTTTTCACTGATTTCTCATAGTTTCGACCCATTTATCTGATATTAAAAATAAGTTATTAAAAAACATGTCAAAAACAGTTATTTTGTTAAAACTATAGGAATTATTATGTAACAAAAGTTATCAATAACTTATCAATAACTTATCATGTTCACATTTATTAATACTTAGTTCATAAATGTTGAAATAATTAAATATGTTTTTATATAAATAACAGTACTGTATATGCAAATAGGTAATTGAAATAAGATACTTAAGTTTGGGCTTATTATAGACTTTATTAACAATAATATTGGCAAGGTCTAGCTTTCCAAAGTTTGATTAACATTGACATGATATCTATTTTGATAAAGATTGCAAATAGGAGTGAATAATGTGGTGGTTCTTAACGATTGGGAGGCTGTGAGGGATGCCTTCAATAAGGACGCCTTTTTGGGAAAACCACTTAACAGTCCGTTTACTGTACTCACTGAAGCTAAAAGTAATCATTGTTTGCGTGAAGTTATAAAACAAATTAAATCAAAAATTAAATGATAATTAGATTTAGGCGATGAAAGTGGGGACGTATGGAGAGATCAACGGAGGTCTGCCCTACAGGTGCTCCGAGACTTAGGCTTCGGGAAGGGCTCTATGGAGGAGAAGATTATCGATGAGATCAGTTATCTCACGAAATGTATCGATGAAACTACTGGTGAGCCCATGGATATCCACGAAGTACTGGTGCCGAGTATGTCCAACAATATCTGTCACCTGGTGTTTGGCCACCGAATGGACTACAATGAGCCCCGAAGAAAGATCTTTGACAAGCTCTTAGACGAGATCTCATCCAGGTTGTCAATTATAGGCATGGTAGCCATGTCGCCCGTTTGGGTCAGCAAAATATATTTTATACTTGGTAATATAGTCAATAAAAGTGCTTTAGCTTCTATAGACAGCATTTTTAAGTGAGTATTTTGAGTGAAACTTCTCGTAATTTATTATAAGATTACTGTATATTAATGGCTAATGAATAATGAATATACCATCGAATGAATAGATCGGAGATATCGTCTCACGAGAAGTCATTTAAAGCTAATAATAGAGTCAATGATTATATCGACGGATACTTAGCGGAGATGGAAGTGAGACAACGAAAGGATCCCAACACTCACTTCACCCGTCAGTTCATACATACTGTCATTGATTGCAATATTTGCGACTAATTATGAAATATTGTATATTTTAGTGAAGAGATTGAATGCAAATTGTCAGCTATTTTT